TCCCGCTGACGTGGGGGGCCCCAGAGCTGGACATGGAACGATCTTTGTGAAATCAGCATCCCACCACACGCTGTGCACGTTCTTGGGGGCTCCCTCCAGTGCCCCAGGCAGCGTGGCGGTCCCGCAGACCAACGCCTGCCTTCATCCCACCGACAGCTTGCCCTCAGTGTCCTCCTGACCGCAGCCATTCGCTTCACCCTGTCCTGTTTCTGTTTGCAGGTCCACAAGGCAAACCCGATACGCAAATACCGTAGCGTGGAAGTGAAGCCCAGCGATCAGCCCCTGACCATGCCCAAGTCTCCCAACTTCTCGGATAGATTCCGGTGCTGATAGCATCCGTGCGATGACAGGAGGGAGGTGCTCTGCTCCTGGCAGGGAGGGAACAATTGTTTTTTCCGTGGCTGCTCGCTCTCGGCTCCCACACTTGGTTCCATTATTGTTACATCCCGTAGTTTAACTCCGCCTGGGGCTGGTGGCTGCGGCGCAGCGTCCGGGCGGTGCCAAACCAGCCCCGTGGCTCCCCCCTTCACGCCCACACGTCTCGTTCGCTCGAGACTAAACCAGGTTTTGATATTGTGTGCCTGAACTAAATAAAAACTCCTAATCCGACTGCTGGCGGGCTGAATCCCTTTCCTGGGGAAGGGCCCTCGGTGAATGTGCAGGGATGTGAGCATCTGGAAGAGCTGCCTTGGCCTTGTGCTTTTAAATATTTTTGGTTTTAAGTGTCCGTTTCAAGCTTTTAGTACGTGTTAATCTTGAGTTTAACGCGGCTCCGCGAGCCAGCGTGTTGCAGGGCTGACCTTTCGCGAGGGTTAGCTGAGCGTGAAGACGAATCCTGCCCCTTCCCCATGTCCCTTGGAGCCTGAAACCTGCTGCTGCTCTACAGCTGAAGCCGTTCTATTTGGGGAATTGCTCAGCTGGCAAACGCCTTGCTGGGAGCTGCTTCCCTGGCTCCTGCTGCACGGTTCTCCTGGCTAAAGGTGTCTCCAGGCCAGGCTGGCAGGACCAAATGCAGACCGAGCGCTCGAACGCGCTGGGGGACAAAACTCCCAGTGTTGGGAAGAGGCAATAGGGTTATGTTAAAGTTTACTGGGAATTACTTCTTGCCTTAGCATTGTGATGTGACTTTGGGGGGGCCTTGGCCTTGCCTTGGCCATAACTGCAGGAGGGAAGGGGTTAGGGATGCAGCTACTCCAAGCGATGCTCTCCCGTGCCACTGCCGCCGTGTCTGTGGTGCTGTTACCTGTTCTGCAAACCCAGGTGATCCTGCGGTGCTGCTTCCTCCATGGAAAAGGGCCTTGTGGGAGAAGGGGCTGCTGTGGCAGGTGACCGGAGCTGAGCTTGAAGCTGCTGGCAGGAAGGAGGAGAGCGAGCCCTCAGATTCAGACCCGGAATGGCTTGAATTTTGGGCTGGCTTGGCTTCTCCTGGCTGTGATGATGAGGAGGCTTTGCCTCTCCTGTGTTTATGGGTCTTGTCCCTATTCCTTGTTTGAGCTGGGTGCTCAGTGCTGTTGTGGTGCTGCTCGGATCAGGAAAACTTGGAATTAAGGTGTCTGGGTAGGACAAACTTGTTTGGGGGTTATGGCAATCGTTTACTTCAATTTCCTCCGAATTTGGGTACCGCTGGAAAGGTGTGCTTAGCGTGTGGCCTTCTAGTTGGGCATGTGATCACCTTCCAGTGCCGGGGGGGCTAGAGGAAAGCTGGGGGGGCTTTTTCCAAGGGCAGGGAGTGACAGGACAAGGGGTAACGGGTTTAAACGGAAAGAGGGAGATGGAGATGGGACATCAGGAAGGAATTCTTCCCGCAGAGGGTGGGGAGCACTGGGACAGGTTCCCAGAGGAGCTGTGGATGCCCCATCCCTGGGAGTGTCCAAGGCCAGGCTGGATGAGGCTTGGAGCACCCTGGGCTATGGAAGGTGTCCCTGCCCAGGGCAGGGGGTGGGTCTGGGTGGGCTTTGAGGTCCCTCCCACCCAAACCATTCCATGGTTCTGTGATACTCCTTGGCTGCCCTCCTGGCCTGGCTCGAAGCTGGGAAGAACAGCCTGCCTGCGGGCAGGTCCGGCTGATCCGGATCCATGCGCCGTGCTCCCTGGTCTTGCCGCTGGCAGCCACGTTGCTGTCCTTGAGCTGCTGCTGGAAGCTCTTTTGATGATGTTGGGTTTTTCCCCGGTCTCTTCCCACCACCTTGCTGGGACCTGTCACGGCGTGGTGGCAGCTCATCC